AAAAAAAAAAATGAAGGAAAAAACAAACAGATTTATCATCATGCCTTTTTCGGTCATTATACACACTAAAAGCGCTTCTGATAAAAATTTACCAAACACTTTGACTACTCACAACAGTTTTTCAAAACTAGTTTACCAAACGCCTAACTGCTTTTTTTCAGAAGCAGTTTTTTTTAAAAGCACAGCAGAAGCAGTTTTTTTTAAAAGCACAGCAATGCCAAACTAGCCCTTAATGTGTTGAAAAATTAGACATCTTCATTCCAAACTTACCCCTAACAACTATCTTAAGGGTTAAATGTTAAAATAGTCCTTGTGTTTTATATGTTGGCTAATTTAAACCCTATGTTTTTAATTTGGTCAATTTGATCCCTGTGTGTTAGGGCCGTTAACCAATGTGATCCAATCCGTTAAATATATGTTTAAAAAATTTAAAAACTATTTAAATATTAATATAAAAAAAATTGGAATTCAATTAAAAAATAGATAATTAAATAAGATCTAAAATTTTGTTATGGGCTCTTTTGTTACCCAAAAAAAAAAAAAAAAAAAATCGAAAGATCAAAACTAAAAGAAATTAAAATCAAAGGATGATACCACCATCCAATCTAGCCCCCACCCCCACCACCCTTATCTCTTCTCTCTTTCTCCCATCAACAACCCATGCAGCTACTTTCCGCAGCCAGACCCAAAGGCCCCAACTCCCCTACACACACCCACCTCCTGAACACGAATCCTCCCCACCCTTGAGCTCTCTCTCTCTCTCTCTCTCTCTCTCTCTCTCTCTCAAACAACCCCTACTGCCCTACCATGTCCCAGCAAGATCTTCCCTCACCATTCCCTGGCCATTTGTCCCATCCCCAACCACACCGTCTAGATCCTCTAGCCCACTCTGGTCGTTGCCCCCACTCCTCCCCCCACCCGGGCCTATCCTCCCTCCTTGATTATGCCCATCCTCTTCTTTTTTTCCTAATGTTATGTTTTGGTTTTAATGAAGTTCAATATATTTTTAAATTAATTAAAATTTTAAATTCAATTTCAAATAAGTTTATAGGTTTTCAAAAAAATAGAAAAGAAATCATTTATGTTTATTTAATGGCAATTTTAACGGAATGGATCATACTTTCAGAATTATACATGTATTTACTTACTATAGTAAGTATGAATACCATAGTAAGTATGAATACTATCTATCCATGTCATCTACCCTTTATGTTTACAAAATTTTCAATAATACAAAAAAAATTCACATATTATACATGTATTTTTCACATATTATTAAATAAAAATAAATATTAAATAATGGCTAAAATTTTCATTCATATTTTTCAGAATTATCGATTAAAAACGTACTTATTTTATTCATACTTTTTCCATTCCATATATTTACTTACTATGGTCTCATGGATAGATAGTATAAATAGTTTTGTTCTGTCCCAATTCCCAAGGCATCGTGAAGAATGACTAACAGGAAGAGGGGCATTTTCGTCCAAGAGGATACCAAAGGGAGAGCGGTGGAATTTACAAGGAAGATTTCAAACTCTGGGTACTGCTAGAAAAAGAAAGCTCATTAAGACAGCCCTAAATACACGCTCATTATGAATTCAACGCACTAACCCAAGTACAAATACCAACTCTCTCTCTCTCTCTCTCTCTCTCTCCTCTGAGTTGCCATCTCTGGCCTTCAAAAGCCTTTGTTTCAGCGCAGGATCAAAAAGCACAGCTCTAACCCTAGGAGCAGGAGAGAGCTCTGAAGGTCTTCCATAGTCCATACTACTGGTATTTCTCAGTTCTTGATGTTAAAAGCAGTCCTTTGTTCTTGAATTTTTGCTCTTCGTTTTTCTATTTTGTATTTTGATGTTTAATGTTGAGTAATGTGAATTCTGAAATGATACCCATTTTCTATTTTGAGTTATTGTTCTGCTTTGGCCTAGAAAATATATAGAAAGATGTATCTTTTTTCGTTTTTCGCATCAAATGAGTGTTTGGTTTCTATGTAAAAGTGAGGAAAGAAACGAAATTTCGTGTTCAATATTTGATTTTCGACATTTAGGTTTGATGTTGTTGTTGCCTTGCTAAAGCTCAAAACCTCATATTTCTTCATTGTTTGGGATTTGGGGAAGTTCAATACATCTCGAAGTCTTGGACTTTCATGGATTGTATGTTTCATTCTGTGTTGGTCTTGCAAAACTTGAAATACCCAACTCACGAAACCATTTTCAATAAACCCTTTTCTTGAATTGGATGCAGGTCAATGGGGAGGAGTTTAAGCCCAATACTAAGGCGTGAAATGGAAAATCTTGATAAAGATGCTCATAGTCGTAGATCAGCAATGAAAGCACTGAAATCCTATATGAAAGAATTGGATTCCAAGCCAATCCCAATGTTTCTTGCCCAAGTTTCTCAAACTAAAGAAACTGGTTCTTTGTCGGGAGAATGCACTATTTCACTATATGAAGTTCTTGCTCGTGTTCATGGTGTCAAGATAGTACCTCAGATAAACAGCATCATGGCCACCATAATCAAGACCTTGGCTTCAAGTGCAGGGTCTTTCCCTCTTCAACAAGCCTGCTCAAAGGTGGTCCCAGCTATTGCTAGATATGGGATTCACCCAACCACCCCTGAAGACAAGAAAAGGAACATTATTCATTCACTCTGCAAACCTCTGTCGGATTCTCTCTTGGGTTCTCATGAGAGCTTGACTTCTGGAGCTGCACTTTGCTTAAAGGCTCTTATTGATTCAGATCATTGGCGTTTTGCTGCAGATGAGATGGTTAATAGGGTATGCCAGAATGTTTCTGGGGCTTTGGAGGAGAAGTCCACTCAGACAAATGCACACATGGGTCTGGTTATGGCTCTTGCAAAACGTAATGCTAAAATTGTTGAACCATATGCTAGGTTGTGGATACAAGAAGGACTGCGGATATTGAATGCTGGTGTAGTGGAGGGGAATTCTCAGAAGCAGTTGTCAGCTATTCAAATGGCGAATTTCTTGATGAGATGCTTAGATCCTTTGAGCATTCTCTCTGAGCTTGAGTTGATAATTGAAGAAATGGAGAAGTGTCAATCTGATCAGATGGCTTATGTTAAAGGGGCTGCCTTTGAAGTTCTGCAAACTGCAAGAAGAATAGGCGCAGATAAAGGCTCAAAACTTGAATTCATGAAATGCGAAGGAGATTGCACAGAGGAATTTGCAGGTAATGTCTACCCAACCACCCCTGAAGACAAGAAAAGGAACATTATTCATTCACTCTGCAATCCTCTGTCGGATTCTCTCTTGGGTTCTCAAGAGAGCTTGACTTCTGGAGCTGCACTTTGCTTAAAGGCTCTTATTGATTCAGATAATTGGCGTTTTGCTGCAGATGAGATGGTTAATAGGGTATGCCAGAATGTTTCTGGTGCTTTGGAGGAGAAGTCCACTCAGACAAATGCACACATGGGTCTGGTTATGGCTCTTGCAAAACGTAATGCTACAATTGTTGAACCATATGCTAGGTTGTGGATACAAGCAGGACTGCGGATATTGAATGCTGGTGTAGTGGAGGGGAATTCTCAGAAGCGGTTGTCAGCTATTCAAATGGTGAATTTCTTGATGAGATGCTTAGATCCTTTGAGCATTCTCTCTGAGCTTGAGTTGATAATTGAAGAAATGGAGAAGTGTCAATCTGATCAGATGGCTTATGTTAAAGGGGCTGCCTTTGAAGTTCTGCAAACTGCAAGAAGAATAGGCGCAGATAAAGGCTCAAAACTTGAATTCATGAAATGTGAAGGAGATTGCACAGAGGAATTTGCAGGTAATGTCTACTCTAACACTCTGAGGAAGCGTGTTCGTTCTCTTCAGGATCCAAGTAATGTCTACTCTAAGTCCTATGAGAAACGAGCCAGAAGATATAGAAGGTTATCCTTCAGCGACAAAGGTGGACCTGAATCGGTATCATCAACAGATGTCATTCCCGTGGATGCTGATTTGCAGGTTTCTTACGAGGTGGTGCCAGAAAATGAAGCAGAAATTCAAATGTCTACCATAAAAAGTGCCCGTCCAAAGGTTGCTGTGAAATTGCTGTGTGGACTTACGTTCGCACTAATTGCAGTGGCTATGGCACTACTTTGGATTAATGATCAAGGTGAAGGGCATGAAGGTTATTATCCTGTTCCAACTTAATGTGCTCGTTCTCTTGTTCCAACGTGGTCACTCATTTTGATGTATAAAGTAGGCAATGTTAGACACGAGAATCTCTCTGTATCTTCTGTAACGCTAGAATTTTACCATCACAACTAGGCGTGGATGTTCAATGTACTGTAGAGAATCAAAAGAATTTGTGTTCTTGAGGAAATGTTGGGCCCGTTCGTTATCATTTTCTAACCCCTTCTTCTATTTTCCAAGAATGAAAACAACCAAGTTTGGTGCTGTTAAGTTTGAAAACACGGAAAGAATTGAAAACGATCTCAACTTTCTTTATAAAATGAGAAAACAACTTTGAGATGTTTTCATCATTTTCAGAGGGAAGTGAAAACAGTGGAAATAGTTTCAGGTGGAACAAGACATCATCATGCTTTGTTCCATTCTCACCTTTCTCAAATCCCACACCCAAAAATCAAACACCCCACTGTCTATTCCTCTCTCTTTGCATTGTTTTGTGAGACCCACTCTGACTCCAAGGCCACAGCCTTCACCATAGTTAGATCCTTGGCTTGAATCAAACTCCTCAACGCCATAGCCTTCACCACAGTCTCCCTTCACCGTCACCACCCAATCACTCGAACCGTAACAGCCACCACTGACCTAATTGAACAAATCGAGGGTGATAGTTATTGTGGTGGTTTGAATTATGTGTTTTAGTGTGATTTTGTTGCTGTTTTCACATGGGTTATATAAACCCAAGCAACACCAGCACTCATGGAGGAGAGGATGTATGAAGAGAGATGAGAGAGTGAAAAAGAAGGGGACGTGGGCGGTGGGGAGTCTGTGAGTTGGGAGAAGAAAAGTCAAGAAGAAGGTGGAAGGAAAAGTGTGCTAACAATATATATATATATATATATATATATATATATATATATATATATATATATATATATATATATATATATATATATATATATATATATATATATATATATATATATATATATATATATATATATATATATATATATATATATATATATATATATATATATATATATATATATATATATATATATATATATATATATATATATATATATATATATATATATATATATATATATATATATATATATATATATATATATATATATATATATATATATATATATATATATATATATATATATATATATATATATATATATATATATATATATATATATATATATATATATATATATATATATATATATATATATATATATATATATATATATATATATATATATATATATATATATATAAATAACTGAGTTTCCTGCCCGTGGACTAGTCTACAATCTAGGCCAAACCGGTGAAACAAGAAAGAAAAAGAAAAACCCCTCTGCTTGTGTATAACTACAAATGACTAGAACTAAGATCAACTCACAGTTTCCCTAGAATCCAAATGAAGAATATTAAAAGGAATGTCTCTGAAAACTGCAGAAACAAATGGTCATAAAGAAGCCCAGGGCCTCATGCCTCATTCTATATCCCATAAAGTTTTTTGACTTACCCACCCCCATCCCTCCCCTCCAAAAACAAAAAGCACAGGGATACAGACAGAAAGAGGTGGGAAATTGTTAGCAATGAAGATTTTAATCACCCGTAATATGTTGACCTTACTTGATGAGCCATCTTATTTTAGTGAACAGAAATTTCCTGCCGTATGAATCTATTATCAAATTACAGACATGTGCTTTGAACTTCCCTGCATTCAAGTATTATACCTTTTATCTGGAAGATACATGCTACATATTATCATAAGCAAGGACGGAACCAGGAATTTTTTAACGGGTGGGCTAGCTAAAGTTATTAACTTAAAATTTAATGATTTTTTTTTTTTACTTACAATTTTTATAGTCTTTCTAGAAATAAAAGTAAACATTAAATCATATAAACCAAGCTAGTTCATAGCTCCATAGACTAATTTTCATTAAGTTTTAACATAAACCAAATAGGGTTTAACACCATAGTAGATTGAACATCTAAGGCTTTTTACTTAGATTGACCTTAGGTTCCTTCATGCATTCATATCATACATGAAAAGTTGTTTTATGTAAAAATATTGACTAAGTATGAAAAATGGGTTTTCGGAATAATCATTCTCTCAAGATAATTTTTGGTGGCTTTTATTCCTCACACATCAAATATGAAAACTTGATTTTATGGGATTTTAGTATGAAGTATATATTGACTTAATGAGCCATCATTTTTAGCCTAAATCGTATTTTGCACTAAGGCTTAGTTTGGGGTTGCTTAACTTTTAAAAGAACCAGCTTATTTTTTAAGTTTTGAATGAAAAAGTGTTTGGTAAATCAAGATAAGGCTGCTTCTTTAAAAAATTGCTGTGACTCACAGCAGATTTCAGAAGCAGCTCAAGAGGTGCTTCTCAAAACTGCTGCAGATGGAAGCAGGCGGAGCAATTAATGAAACATTCAAAATACCTATAATACCCCCATTTATTTTAGCAAATGACATCCGTTATCCTCACTTTCTATTCTACGTTAAGGTACTACAACTCGATTCTTCTTCTTCTCTCTGGCAACTCGACTTCTGTCTGCAACTCGATTCATCTTCTTCCCCTCCGACCAAAAAAAAAAACCCAGCCCCTAGCTCTCCACTCCAGCCACAAAAATCCAAACCACATCTTAAAAAAAACTCAACCCCAGCCCCCCAGTTTGTGATATCCACTCCAACCACAAAAGATCCAAACCCCAAATATATCTTCAAACATCTGTATGCTAATTGTGGAGGACCAAAATCGATAGCAAAACAAGCATCTACCCTCCTTCATCAATGATTTTCACAAAAAATGGATTCTTGAACCCATCAACAATTCGTTGACCTTCTCTTGGAATCCAAAATCAAGGGAAAGTTGAAACTCAAATCAAAACCACAGGAAACCAAAATTTTCATTTGGATTTGATTTCCTTCTTGTTGTTTTCTTTGATGACGACACAGTTTTTATTTGGGTTTGGGTTGAGTTTTTGGTTCTTGAAATTCTTGATCTGGGTTTTTTCTCTTGGTGTTTTGGGGCAATGGAGAGAGAGAGATACAGGTGGGTACCGTGGGATGGGGTTTTTTTAGGTTACTTTTCTTTTTTTATTATTTATTTATTTTTTATATATTTTTGGTCACAATATTTAGAATTGGAACTAATTTTGTTACTTTAAAATTCTAGAATTTGCGGCAAAATAAGTAAAAATTTCATCGTCACGTCCTTATTGGTCATTATACATACTAAAAGCACTTCTAATAAAAATTTACCAAACACTTCGACTCTTCACAGCACTTTTTCTAATATAGTTTACCAACCGCCTAGTTATTTTTTTTCACAGCTGTTTATTGTCACAGCACAGCAGAAGCAGTTTTTAAAAAAAGCACAGCAATACCAAACTAGCCCTAAAATTGATTTTTCACATTTTGATTTGGTGGGAATTTGATTTTCTAGTATTTTTATTTGAATTCAAATGGGAGGTACTTCCTTATTTACAGTGTAAACTTAAGTAAATGGTCATTTTACTTTTATTTATTTTTATATTACTCCATTTACTTAAATGTTGAAAATGGAAATAAGGTAATCTGTACAGCGCCACTGACTGGGCTAATATTGAAAATAAATTAAATATATAGGGTTTTTTTTTTCTTAAAAAACCACACTGGGCTACAGTCCAGTGTAGCCCTTAGTGTGGTTCCTCATAAGAAACCGACTGTAGGCTTGAGCATGTCATTCGGGTTTCTATTTCTGGTAATGCCATGGCTAACGATGTTCTTAATACTCTGATTTTTTTTTTGTGGCAGTCTCATGCTGGGAAGGTTGTTGAGAGGCATTTGTATGAGAAGAATAAGCATATCTTCCCTACTTCTATATGGGAGGTGCTCTGACGTAGTACAGCCCCTAGGTATTAAATTAATCACTTAACAATCGAACAGAGAAGAATATAAGAGATTGAGGAGAAGAAATATAGATTTAAAAGACGAGACAAAGGGTAGAAACAGTAGAACAAAGAAGAATATCGGAGGTCGAGGAGAAGAAAATATAGATCGAAGGGACGAAATCAGATAGTTCTAGGAAAAGGTTTACTCAACATTCAAATCTCCATTTTAAAGAACTACATGGGGGTATTTATAGCAAACTAAAACCTAGACATAATAGGATAAAAATCCATTGTTTAAACAGAAATCCTAACCCAAATAAAATAGGAAACTTAAAACTAGAAATCTGGAAATCTGGAAAAGTAGAAATACTACTAAAACTTGGAAAACTAGAGAATCTAGGAAACTAACAAATACATTAAGAAACTAATAAATTTAGGTCCTACGCGTCCTGCATCATGCTCTCTCGGTCTCTCGCTGTCTCTGTCTCAATATATTTTTGTTATATATAATAGGTATATTTAATAAAAATTTCTAAGTAACCACATAGCGGTCCTTTCACGTGTCACTCCAGTCAGGCTTGATATTTTGTCATACTGATTGCCATTCAACTGAGGGTTTCTTGAAATATTAACTACAGTGCTCTTGAGTACACAATTTCTGTATATATTGCGTGACCAATGTCCGAGTATCACTTATAAATCCTTGTTTTTAAGTGGGATGATATATTGTGTGCACCAGCATGCGAGCTAAATAAGTTTGAGTAGGGTTGGGGTTTCAAAACTCTAACTTCTCTCTTTCAATGGGATGATTGCCTACCATCTTGGCTACTTCATCCGAGTATATAGAAGATGTTTATTATACTTAATAGCCAAAAACAAACATAGACTTGCAGGTGGTATTTGATGCTTGGAGATATGTGATGTTCGTTTTTTGGTTTTTGTTTTTATATGCATTATTTTGTTACTGTATCATTGTTGATTACTTAATCTCTTAAAGTAACTTACGATTTGCTAATTACTTAATTTATTAATATTGTTATTTTGTAATGATTGTTTTATAAATTTATATAAACTAAGGAATGAATTTTTTTAGATGATTTTATATACTAATCGGTGAATGAGATATGTGTGCGATCAAGTGTTTGAACCTCTTAGGAACTCTATGTGGTACTACGTTGTTTCTGGCATAAATAACTGTATTAAATCATTATACATTACTTTGGAGGTATATTCAATCAACTTTCAATAAGAATGGAGCAGTTTTTTAGTACGTACACAGTTGTTGGCGCATGGTATATTCACCTTAGAAGCGTATACATCTTTTATGCGTCGAAGTTTTCCGAATTCTTTAATCAAAATAGTTGATAATTGATTAAACAAACCTGACATGATGTGTCATTCAAAATTATGCTCCAAATTTTCCAATATCAATTTTTCCGTATTTTTAGGCCAATACTCAAACTCAAACACATTGGGTGCGACAACAATTTGACTATGTCAGCTAATCTCTACTGCATTAGGCATTTGTGCTGCTTATGAAGTGCAATTGTGTAATGATTCCTTCAGTTTTCTTTACTTACCCGTTTTGTCCATTTTAATGGCAGATATATGATCCAACGATGAAATGGGAGCGTTATACCATCCATGGGGACTGAGTACACATCACAAACATGGGAGACTACTTTTTTCACATGCTGGGCTCAACTTTTGTACCAGTATTCATGTATAAAGTACACTAGAGGGTTGAGATTCTGTTAGTGCAGTTAATTTTTTTCTTAACTTAGTGATCAACATACAGATCACAGGCAAAACAATTCTTTTAGCAGATTGTAGATGGCATCTGTTTTGCTCATCTATTTTGGGCTTGTAGTATAATAGAGGAATCTGCTATAAACATCATTCATTTACAACTAAATTTCTTTATGATTCTCCTCTGAAAAATGCATAGAAGCTGTTTTGCTCATCTAGCTACAAATCAGAGTCCCTGGGTAGACGGTAAACTATTTGTGCTTGAGATTGTTTGAGAAAACAAGAAATGGAAAAGAGAGAGAATCAGCAAGCAAATCTAACATATACACTAATCTCCCAAAAACAATGAAGCACAAGAGCGAAACAATAATCATATAACAGCGGTGTACAATTCAAGAAGAAGTCTGAGGAATTGCATAAGACTTCTCAATGGAAAACTTCAAATTCAATATAATAACAATGCCAAAGGCATAACATGAACAAAGACACACTTGCTTGTACAAAGTGTGCTTTCTAGATTTATAATGTTTTTCCCACTGCTTTTACCTTTCCTTTTCCTTTTGTGTTTATAAGTTTGGAAATAATATGATAAGTATGCGACAATTTTAATTATGTTATAAGTATCATCACTTATTCAATGAATAAATATAATGACTAAAAATTCAAAGAAACCTTTGTCTTTCGATCATAATAAGCCTAAATGAAAGTTTAGTAAATCTTTCTCGATAAAGTTAGTTGACTGGGATAAAGTTGTATCCCTTAGAAACCATACATGCACCTTTTGATGCATACGGTTCTATGTGGGTGTCACCGACTGGTGAAATGCTCCCTTTTATGTTAAGTATAAATTTAAATGAGCTAAAGAATACAGTTTTAATTGCTTGACCATAAAGCATTGTATATCATAGCGTTTCTTTTGTACTTGTGTCTACAACTTTTGGTTGTAACGATTAAAAGGCTAAAGCATGTTATTTGAGAAAGAAAGTCCAATAAAGCCCAATGGACCTCTCCTTAAAATAGGATTGGTTGGTCCAAAGTGCCAAGTGTAAATTGATAAGTAATTGACACCACTCTTAACATGGACAAAAAAATCTCGTTAACCTCCAAATTCCAATGTTCTCACCTCCAAATTCCAATGTTCTCAAATGGTAAAAAAAAATCCTAAATTTTCCTCATGGGTAATCTACTCATGCAAATTTCAATAAGATAAAATTCAGTTCAAAATCTCCGAGTAAATTTTCAATGGTAAAAAAAAATTCCTAAATTTTCCTCATGGGTAATCTACTCATGCAAATTTCAATAAGATAAAATTCAGTTCAAAATCTCCGAGTAAATTTTCAAAATTATTTCAAAGGATTCTAAACCCTTTTCAAATGTCTCAAAGACACAAATTCTCAATTAATGGGTCCTTTACTCATTAATTTCCAAATCTTTTGAACTATATTGGTTTGATTCGTTATGGTTACTAGGGATTCTAGATGCAATCGCAATCCTAAATCAATTCTTTGGTTTCTACACCCAAGTTTACGAAAACACTTTTTCAAGCAAATCCACCTCAAATTTCTTTTTCAATAAGTCATTCACTCATTGTAATTCCTTAAATTATCAGTGGCTTGATTACTGAAACGGATACATAGGCAACCTAGGATTCTACTTAAGACCAACCACAAAATCAAACACATTTTTTATTTATGTTTATTTCTTTTGTGGAATCAAAGGGTATTTCCTTATATGAAGGGATTGCAATTAAGAGACACTTTGTGTCGAATGAGACGAACCTAAAAATAATAATGCCCCATTACTTAGGTAGTGGTAGTGAAATTATGTTGGGTGACACATTTTACTTTAACAATGCCCTTATGTTATTTTAAATAAGAAGCCCATTGTAGTGATTTCTTCTAAGCCATTGTGGTGATTTTAAATAAGGAAGGAGGTGGTAACAACCAAGAATGGAAGGAGGTGGTGCAAGCACCCAAGCGAGAGCTCTACACATCTTCCGAAGGAGACACGAAAAATCGTGTTTGGGATTAGTCGCTACAGCCCAAGGGGGTCGATAGATCCAAGAGGGAGGTAGAGTCCTTGAAGAAGCCATATAGAAGGGAGGAATTTAAAGGGAGCTGGGAAATTTAAAAAAAGAAAGGAAGATAACAGAGATGGAGTGAAGAGGAAGATGGAAGATGGATGGTAACATAGATGGAATGGAATGAAGAGGAAGATGGAAGATGGAAATTCGAAAATGAAAGGCGTATCAGGGGGGAGGGAAGGAGGGTTAGTGACCACCTCCCCCCTTGCTGTATATCCCTTGATCCTCACCAAAACAGAAATTCATTATCAATGTATGCGTCCAACTTGTCAAATCAAGCAGATCCGTGCGCACGTCACGTGAGATCCTGGGATAGTTACAAACAACGGCATATTAACGAAACATTGGTGATCACCAGGGAGGCAATTATCTGTAAATGAAACCCTAGCAAAACCCTAACCATAAAATTGCCATTGACAACCACCATGAGCGAAGAAGCCATGAAGGTGGACCAACCTCAGCCACCGAGGACCGAAGCCCTCCAAACCCTAACCGAAGGTCCTCTCTCCTCGTCGATATCCAAGCTCTCAGGCTCATCGCGAGGCATACCTTCCAACCTAGACTTCTATTTCTACCGCAACTTCGACGAATTCAAGGCACCGATCGAACAAATCACAGAACAGTCGCAGTCAATGCTCGGCTCCGTTGGCTCTTCGGCGCCTATTTGGGGCAAAAAGATGGCTGTACCCCAAGACTTGGACCACGAGTACGATTGGCTGGTTAACGTCAACGACGAGGTGCTCGAGAGGTTTGACTCGTCGGTGGAGGAGTTCAAGAGAATCAGGAATGAGGCAGAGGAGCCCAAGCGGCCGATGATTGCGGATTTTGACTCGGAAAATGGGTTTCAATTGGTCTGTGGGAAGAAGAAGAAGGGGCCCAGTGGCTCGGCGAGTGCTAATGGTGATTCGACTCAGGTCTCGAGCGTGAAGGTGGCTACCAAGGACAAGAAGACTGTGGGGACGAAGCCCAAGGTACCGTTTCATATACCGACAATTCGGAGGCCTCAGGAGGAGTTCAACATTTATTTTAATAATTCAAACCAGCCGTTTGAGCATGCTTGGTTGCAGAGAAGTGAGGACGATCAGCGTTTTCTTCATCCCCTTGTAAGTCATTAATTGATGTTTTTAGTCTGTTCAAACATTATGGTGTTTTCTGTGCCCATGGAGCCAGTGGTGTAGGAATTCTTTATGATTCTTTACTGCAATTAAATTCTTTGAATTGGAAAATAAAACATGATTTGTGTTGGTAGATGTGCCATTACTCAATATGGTTTTGAAAATGGTTACATTTTTTAGAATACATGTCAAATCATTTTGGGGCTATTCTGTCAAAAAATGGGTCTTGAGAGAAAGATGTATTTTTGACAGTGTGGGAAGCTATACACTAATGGGGTGCCCTGCACCAAGTTTATCATGTTATGTTCCCTTCCCTTAATGTTTAAACTCATGAGGGAGGATGGATGGAGTGGTGGGAACTATATGCAGGCTTTACCAATATAAATTTGAGTTACAAATATTTCCGACATTTCTCTATCCTAAGGGGTTTTCCAAAGGCATGGCTGGTCTAAAAATGATAACTGAGTGAAAAATTTGGAATTTACCATTTTCCATCTATAAAATATCCTTTATTTATTATTTACATGGTACTGCTCGAGGCAAGAACTCTGGGCCTGCCATTTATTTCATTTTCTAGAGTGTGTTCTCCATCTTCTTCAATCTGACACACCATTACAAGCGTCTTTTAAATCAAGACAAAAAACTTTTATGTGTCCGTAGAGGAGTGTATAAACACATTTATTCAACCAAATAGTATTCCTTCTATAATTACTCAAGACCACCAGTTGTAGACTCATGACTTAGCTAAGAAAGCTCATGTACCTTTTTTTGTTACAAACACAAACGTACATTAGCTAACAGACGGCGAAACAAATCTGGCCTGAATAAAAACACCTGGAAAGCCAATAGCTGTCTGTATGGAAAGGAGTATACATTGATAATTTTTGAAGCTCTTAGTTTGTTATTTAGTTAGGTTTTGTTATTGCAAAATGGCAAAAGAAGCATTGAGTTGCACACTAGATGCTAGTTTGTCCATTCTTTTTGTTAACTTTTATTCTAGTTTCACTACATGGTTATCTTCTTCTGACCATGGATTTGTTGAGCATTATTAAATTTTTATGTTCTTTTCGACATAGTTGTATGGAATAGTGTGTTTGAAGTTTTTTGTCATTTGATGTATTAATCTGAACTACTTTTTTGGTTGCATGAAGTGATAGATTTTATATTTTATTTATGCTCATTGGATAATGGAACTTTATCTTTACCTTGCATAATTAGGTTTGCTTGCTAAAATTAAAATACCTGTTTTCCCTTTCATCTTCTAATTTTTGTTTTCTTGAATGAATATAGGAGAAGCTTTCTGTTCTGGATTTTGTTGACACTGACGTTGGGGATGTTGAGCCTGTAAAACCACCCTCATTAGAGTCTACGCCATTCAAGCTCGTGGAGGAGGTCAAAGATCTGAAAGAGCTGGCAGCTAAGCTGCGTGGTGTTAATGAATTTGCGGTAAAATTGGACTGCAATGATTTAATTTTTATTGTCAGTCGATTTGAATTTCATGGTCATTTACACTATATTAATTTTATCATCATTGCTAGATTGTATATCAAAGTCATTAATGTTTGGGGAAGTTTGTTGCACTTGCAGTTACCGTGATAATCATGAGTGCAATGATTTAATTTTTATTGTCAGTCGATCTGAATTTCATGGTCATTTACACTATATTAATTTTATCATCATTGCTAGATTGTATATCAAAGTCATTAATGTTTGGGGAAGTTTGTTGCAATTATAGTCATAGGCACTAGCATACAAATTATACTTGCAACAGCAATACAATCTCAAAATCTGGGGGTGTGATGTGACAAAGTTCAAAAATGAAGGTCCATTTTGAGAATCACCCCAAACCTCGATGGTGTGATAAAATGTAGTTAGCCCTTTTTTGTGTCCACATGCAATTTGGAAAGTTGTAAAGACCACAGATCTAAATGTAATAACTATTTGTTTCTTTCCCTTCAACTTTTATTTATTTATTTATTTTATATGTATTGTTAGGGACTTTTCTTTCATAAAAGTTTGCTCTTTAATAACATAAGATATATATATATATATATATGCACATATATATTCTTTGGCTGTTCTTTAAGTTTTGCATGAAGTTACTTTCATTTAGCCTTTTCCCTTCGATCTCTGTAATATTGCTTCTAAGGTGTGTGACAAAACTGAGTTTCCACAATGTATTCACTGGTACCTGCCATGAAATTGCTTAAGTTGGCATCTCAATATTGTGGTTACTTCATTTACTTTAGACATTTCAATGTGGCATTCATTTCCATGCATTTTAAACCTCTATCCTTTGCTGTGTAGGTTGATTTGGAACACAATCAATATCGATCCTTTCAAGGATTGACTTGCTTGATGCAAATTTCTACTAGAACTGAAGATTTTATAGTAGATACTTTGAAGCTTAGAATTCATGTTGGTCCATATCTCAGGGAAGTTTTCAAGGACCCTGCCAAGAGAAAGGTTTGTATCATGCTCATATGCATTTCTCAGTTCGTAACATATCAGCTAATTTTTTTTCTGATAAAATTTATAATTCATTAGGTGATGCATGGAGCAGATCGAGATATCATGTGGCTCCAACGTGATTTTGGCATTTATATCTGCAATTTGTTTGATACTGGCCAGGTGATTTACTTTGAAACCACTGAACAAATGGATTCACTTATCATGTAAAGGAATACTTAATTTTGTTTCCTTAATTTGGAAAAAGTATCATAGCTGTACTATTTTTTTCTATAATTTAGCCCTTTTACTCAAAATATATTTTAATCTTCATAATGTGCTGCTAACCAAGGACAATGGGGTTGTCTTAATCTTCAGGCCTCAAGGGTATTGAAAATGGAGAGAAATAGTTTGGAATATCTTTTACATCAGTTATGTGGTGTTACTGCTAACAAAGAGTAAGTGTTTTATTTTTACTTTAATTTCTTCAATCTTCTAAGTGTTCTAAATACTTGTTATTATTTATATTTTCAAAAAATTTGCTTGTTGCTGCTTTGACTGTCACCTATTTCTCCAGCTCATATTTTAACCAGGTGATTTACTTTGAAACCACTGAACAAATGGATTCACTTATCATGTAAAGGAATACTTAATTCTGTTTCCTTAATTTGGAAAAAGTATCATAGCTGTACTATTTTTTTCTATAATTTAGCCCTTTTACTCAAAATATATTTTAATCTTCATAATGTGCTGCTAACCAAGGACAATGGGGTTGTCTTAATCTTCAGGCCTCAAGGGTATTGAAAATGGAGAGAAATAGTTTGGAATATCTTCTACATCAGTTATGTGGTGTTACTGCTAACAAAGAGTAAGTGTTTTATTTTTACTTTAATTTCTTCAATCTTCTAAGTGTTCTAAATACTTGTTATTATTTATATTTTCAAAAAATTTGCTTGTTGCTGCCTTGACTGTCACCTATTTCTCCAGCTCATATTTTTCAAGCTTGACTAGTGAACTCTTTGCAGATACCAGAATGCAGATTGGAGATTACGCCCTCTTCCTGAGGAGATGGTCAGGTAAAAATGTGGATTATGGCATATGTTTACTGGGTAATATAGCTAGTATTAGTTTAGTCAATTATATATTACAAGTCCGTAAATCATTGTTCTTTCTCAATTTTGTTCAATGCAACTTTAACTTTCTGCCTTTATATATGAGAGTGATTTGAAACTGAAAATTCCAAAATCTAGTTAGGTGGTTTCTTCCTAATATCATTTTAATATACTTTGCTTGGTGTTTGATGTTAAAATGTTTGTCCCAGTTACGACTGATTGATTGTTAAGGATAATATGGCTTGTGGATAGCAGTTAGTTTTATGATTAAGATTGCCTCCAAATTGAAAAAATTGGATTGGACAACTTATTACACGAAGTCTGCACACATGGACGTTCCAACCAATAAAAACCCTAATGAACCTAAAAAAAGGATAAAGGCCCAGCAGAAATGACTTGTTTTTCGAGACCCCGTTATAAGATCTATCCATATACGTTAAGGTCCTCAACTCATACTATAACAAGATCCCGCTTTAGAAATTTTAAATTTCTTTTATTCTTATGTATTTATTTTATTTTTTCCTTTTTTTTGGGACCATTCTTTTTAGATTACTTTGAGGTGATGAAGTTTAAGGTCCCCAATTACCTAAAGCAGTTTTGTTATCTTGACAGATATGCCAGAGAAGATACACACTATCTGTTGCACATGTATGATTTAATGAGAACAATGTTATGTTTGATGCCAAAGGAATCAGAAAACTTGGACACTCCTTTAGTAGAGGTATAGCACATATGAGGATCCCATGCTTCTCTCTACTCTCATGGAATTATATGTTTTTAATCTTTTGTGTTATACACATTCTTAATGCTTTTATGTATTGTAAACTTTTGTAGCTAACTGCTAGTTTTGATTTATGGCTTATGGATGAGTATACTTTTAATTTCCATTAGAGCGCTCATTATTCCTGCAAGACTGTGACTTGTTCCCAAGTCATTGTTTTGCTTTTATATGAGTGCAATTTCATTATTTAATTTGCATACTTTTGGTGGTTAATGCAATGATCCTTGTTGTTCCATTTCTAGCGTTGAAGTTGACCATATGGGATGTTGAAATTCTATTTTTATTCCTTTTTCTGAATGCTTGTGGGATCTGGTCAAATTTGATTTAATGTCTATGCGTGGACGTTTATGAGCTCTGTGAAAATGCTCATGAAATGCATCAGCGATGTCTCACCAAAGATTAACAAGTAATCAAGAAAGCCACCCTGTTAATTAATTGTTCATTCCAATGTATTTGTTGAGGAGATGATTTATGGCATCACGTAATTTTTGATAATTTGTGGTCGTGTGAAGGTTGAAATATTCTGCTAGATGTTGTCTTTGGTTGTCTTAGCACTCTATTACCTTGCATTGTAGTTACGAATGATCTAAAGTCTAAGGGAAAGATAGCAGAGGGTTATTTTTGAAGCGTCTTTTGGGTCCATCTAGTGGAGCTATTAAAATTTTTGTATTGTTTTCATCAAGTGTTATTAGTTTGGAATAATTTTTCTGCAGGTGTGGTTATTTTTTTTTCTCTGTAGCTGATTTGATCTAGGCCTTAGCCAATTGGCTTGTGGTTTTGATGATGGAATGGCATATTTGTTTCTTTTTAAAAGGAAATTTGTTTCTTTTTAAAAGGAAATTTGTTTGATCTTTTAAGATTAAAAAGATGGCGTTCTTAGTGCTTTTTCTAGTCCCTTGAGCGAAAAAAGTATGTTAAAATTGAGTTGTTTATAACATATGCAGATGGATGATTGTTCGAGTTGGTGTTTTTATTATTTGTGTAGGTAACCCTTCTAGTATGATTTGAGCTGAGTATTCTTTCATATGAAGTAAATATGTCTTCATGGTAAATTAGTTGATACAGCTTAGAAAATGGTTCTTTAAATTACATTCTCTTGTATATATATACACACACACACACACATTGTTTTCCATTTATTAATTTTATTGAAGACCCTTTAAAAAAAATTTCCTGACAGGTTTACAAGCGGAGTTATGATATATGCATGCATCTGTATGAGAAAGAGCTTTGGACAGAAAATTCCTATCTCCATATATATGGGTGTGTTTCTCTATTTCAGGTTAAAAGGCTAGCATACTGTGTACCTTATTTATTTTCTTTGTTTATCTTATCTTATCTTCTTTTTTTTTTTTTTTGGGGTTTTGTCTTGGATGGTAGATCACCTGTGAATTCCCTTCTTTCCTTTCATTTTCTTCTGGGATGGTAGATCACCTCTGAATTCCAGCGAGTTTACATCTTTTCCAGTTGCTATTGCCCAAACCCTCCACCACCCTATCCCCTGGATCCCATTATCAAACGTTCAAAACTGGGGTAAGCCAATAAAGCCCAAGTCGCTGTCTCTTCCTTATCCCCGTTACAATTTTTTAATCCAAACAGATCAAAAATACCTAAACTAGAAACAGAAATCTTGTTGCTTAACATCCAACATCAAGTTGTGTGGTACCACCTTCAAAAATTAAACCTTTACCAACCCAGTTAACAAAACCATATCTGTAAAACGCCAAAACAATGTAATATGTTATGTGCGTCCTCTTCAGGTCCACAACTCGGACCTAAACTGCCATACAGTGAAAAACTTTTTCAATCAAATTAATTGATTACCATTAATTGGTTGAGGTTTTTGCGAGAAAATTGAACCGTTAGACCAGATTGAAACTGAAAACCTACTAGAGATTAATATGTGTGAGTAGATGATTACTGGATCTGTCAGGGAGGGAAGTTTGCAGTTCTAACTCCATCAGGAGTACCCTATGGGTCTTGAGCCTTCAAGTAAAATTGGTGACATGACCTTTATCCAACTACGTGTGGTAATTGAGGGAGTATAATATATGAAAATGACAGGAGTCCGGTTCTTTTACCATAAAAATCGCCTTAGCATTTAGCATCTCTATCTTCATTCCTTCCCATAAGGGAGCTTATTTGAGGGACACATTTGTAGGGCCCCCTTTTTGTTGTACTTCAATGATCCGAACCGTCTAGTTTTAGGTCTTCTCTCAAAGATCATCGCTGCAAAACTTGCTCAAACTCAATACCATTTAACCACTCAATTACTTGGCTCTAATTTTAATGTTTTCTTGAAACACTGCATTCTTCTATTTTTTGGTCACAACTAAGATGTTTTCTTGGTTTCCAGTTTGTCTAATTGTTTTTTCAAGGATGATCTTTAAATGAAATTTGATTTTGTATCATTGAACCCGTAGGGGACCTCACATGGTTATTGAATGCCCTTGGTTAACCAAAATGTTCAACAGAAGAATTTAATTTGAAAAAGCTAAAATAATAAAAAAGGAAAAAAAAAATGTCACATGGGGGACGGTGCCAACTGGCTAGTATATATTATAACATATTATAATGACTAAGATATATTCTTTTCTGTTTTGATCCAGGTTGCAAGGTGCTGGTTTCAATGCTCAGCAGCTTGCAATTGTTTCCGTAAGTTGCCTTCTTATTTTCTTCTTTGTATCATTCAAATTTTAACATTTGTTGATTCACTTGAACTGTAAAACACTGAAGATACCCCCTCTGCTATTCCAATACGATTTTCATTGTGTGGTACCCCTGATCCGTTTATCATTAATGATTTTTCATGTAGGAAGACTAGTTTAAATGTTAAAATGATTGCATGAAGGAGAATTGTTAAATGCTTTGTCACATTCATAAGCATTAATCTGTTGTTTCCTTATTGAGTAATGTAATATCTACTATATTTTACGAGAGGCACTTGTATTCTTAAGTAATGTGTAGATGTGTAATATTAATGGTTGTATGCTACTAATTCTAGATGTACTTTAAAAATAATTTTTCAGGGTCTTTGTGAGTGGCGGGATGTTGTTGCTCGTTTTGAGGATGAAAGTACTGGCTATATATTACCAAACAAAACTCTTCTTGAAATTGGTAATGGGAAACTTGCACAAAGTTGCATCTCAATATGTCTCTCTTTTTTCAACATGTTTAAACGGTAGACATTCAACTCATTTATTTATTTATTTATTGGTAATAGCTAAACAGATGCCTGTCACTACTAGCAAGTTAAAGCGATTGGTGAAATCAAAGCACCCGTACATTGAGCACAATCTTGCTTCTGTGGTTAGTATCATTGGGCTTTCTATGCAAAATGCTGCTTTTTTAGAGCCTGCGGTCGAACATCTGAAATTGGGACGTGCGGGTATGGTAAGGCCTTATGTTTAGTAGTCTGATGATCATGGTGACTGGGCATCGTTGTTTGCTTTTCTCTATTAGGCTTGCATTCATTGGTGACCCGTATATTTTTGGATCATAGGACAAGCCATCCCTCCTATGGGGTGAGATGGATAAAAAATTATGACTATTGCAGATATTGGATTGCATTGACTATGTTATCATGATGACTGCGGTTTTTAGGAAAGATTGGTGGGGGAGGAAGAAAACTTTGTAAGGAATTCAGCTGCAAAGTTAATAACTGAAGCACTTTAAAGTCATTAAATATACTTTACCAAATGATTAGCTATAAATTATGCTTTGTTAAATACTTCATGCCAAATTCCTTGTGCTGAACTGTTGAATCTGATTAGAACTGGGGAATTAAACTGTGCATTTTCATAAATTTTATTAAAAATAAAAAATAAAACATTTGTATTCCATTGTCAGTTAATAATCTGCATTGATTTTTTTCAATTGACCTTTGAGATCATGGGGCTACCAATTTGTGGCATTCCATGAAAAGAAATAAATGTTTACAAAGATATACTGGCTCTATGGGTCCTGTGCAATTCAGGTTGCTAAGTGCTGCAAAATACATATTCCTCCTCTTGTCTAAACTGTAATTGAATAATATATTATTGGTGAAAATTTTTACATGTTATTTAATGTAATCTTCTTTAGTAACCTGTACTTTGCTAACTCGTTTGCTACATGATTTTCTTTATAGAACAAGGAAGACAAGTTGGAGCAAATTAGGTCGTCAATGAACTTTCCTTTCCCCTCATTTACGGGAAGCAGTGAGCAATCAAAGCCAATCATCAAAGCACCAGCTACAAGTTCCGAAATTCCCCACTCTGAAGGGCCTCTCTCTGATTTGTCCTCGAGCTTCCAAAATTGTTTTCAGTCACGTAAGCGAAACAGGAAACCCAGAGAAGTGAAGAAATCCCTAGAATCCTGTGGTTTGCAGGTGAAGCCTTTTGACTATGAAGCAGCAAAGAGAGGGGTCATTTTTGGAGCTAAGTCAGTTAAAGATGCCGGAGCTGGGGAAAGGTGTAAGGAGCCTGAATTCAGGAGGGAAGAAAAAATCTTTAGGCGGTATAGTCTCAAATGATGATGGGTCAAAAGAACTAGCACAAGGTGGACGACGACAAGCTTTTCCAGCAAGTGGAAATAGAATTGCAACGTTTCGTTAAGTTTCGGGCATAGATTTGTTCTGTATTACACAAGTGACAGAATGTTTTTAGTTGTCAAAAGAAATGGAATGAAATTGAAAGAAGAAAAAGAAAATTATAAGTGTCTTTAAAGAGCTTCAATTTTCAGAATGGTGAGAACGGGGTTAATAGGAGGTTATTTGGTAAAGCTGCCTAAAATTGACCGTAAAATATTCAACTCTCCAAATTATGAAATTAATATTTTTAGGGTTCATCTAATTCTAATCTGCGTAAAACACGGGTTAAATTAAGTTATGCCAGTTCACTATAATTCTAGAACCGCAAGAGGCAAAAGTCCGAACTTTTTGCACCTGCTAGAGTCCAATTACAATATATAGCGGTATTACCACTCGTGAAGAGCATGAAACTTGAAAGTTACATCTGAACCTTCCTCTTTCCAATTACAATATATAGCGGTATTACCACTCGTGAAGAGCATGAAACTTGAAAGTTACATCTGAACCTTCCTCTTTCCAATTACAATATATAGCGGTATTACCACTCGTGAAGAGCATGAAACTTGAAAGTTACATCTGAACCTTCCTCTTTCCAATTACAATATATAGCGGTATTACCACTCGTGAAGAGCATGAAACTTGAAAGTTACATCTGAACCTTCCTCTTTCCAATTACAATATATAGCGGTATTACCACTCGTGAAGAGCATGAAACTTGAAAGTTACATCTGAACCTTCCTCTTTCCAATTACAATATATAGCGGTATTACCACTCGTGAAGAGCATGAAACTTGAAAGTTACATCTGAACCTTCCTCTTTCCAATTACAATATATAGCGGTATTACCACTCGTGAAGAGCATGAAACTTGAAAGTTACATCTGAACCTTCCTCTTTCCAATTACAATATATAGCGGTATTACCACTCGTGAAGAGCATGAAACTTGAAAGTTACATCTGAACCTTCCTCTTTCTCCAATACAACGTATCATTAAATGCATTTTTTTTTCTATTTGATTTAATGTGGGTATAATTAGAAAATTATACAAACTTCGTTTTCCATTTCTACTCAAATCAAAACAAACATGGGAAAGGAAACAAAATGAAATCTCCCGGTTACTTTCCCAACATTACCAAACGTGGGAAATGAATCTTTCATTCCCATTCCTTAGGAAATGACATGGGAAGTGATTTCCCCTCAAATCCATTCCGTGAACCAAACGAGGCCTCAGGAACATCTATGGAGTGCAATCGTGAACTGTCTATTGCAGAAACCACAATCGCTCTGGTTAGAAAGTCAAACTCAAACAGGCGCACAACTCATCTATTCACCCAATCGCCTCATCCTTGAACGCACGGTAGACCGTGCTGGCACGCCTGTGCATAACCGCACCGCACCAAAGAAGGACGACCTGTGTTGACACAGATCCTCTCGGCCCAGAGCACCAGGCCGTGAGATTTGCGGACCAACACCGTCTAATTGTACAAAACCACGGCGGTTATTTATTCAAAAACCACGTCGGTTTTTTAGTTATAGGGACGTTAAAATAAGATTCCACGTCGTAATTTGCCGATGTCTATTTCTTATACGACGTATAATATTTAGTAATAACCACGTCGGTTTGTTCAATTAGCGACGTATAATATTTATTTACCACATCATGAAGTTCAAATTACCGTCGTATTTATTCAATTTATATGTCTGCCTTCTCTGTCAACCACCGTCTTAATTTTTAGGGAAATTTGCATAAATACCACCTGAACTTTCAGGTATGTGCGTCATTACCACATGAACTTTTAATTTTTATTTTTAACCACCTAAACTTTGTAAAGTGTTGCAATCCACCACCTACGTCTAACTCCGTTAATATTTCCGTTAAGTTTAAGGGTATTTTTGTCAATTAACTATAACAAAGAATAATTATATTAAAAAACAGATTTAAAAAAAAAGTTAACCTAATTACACCGCCTTCACCCTATCCCTACTCCTACTTTTCCAACTTTTCCAACGTCAATTCGCTCCACTGCAAAAAAAAAACCTACACTCCCAAAACCCACCCTATGCATACACCATACTCTATATTCATCTTTGTCTCTTGGCATCTCTTGTGTGGGTTGTTGAAATTGAGTAGCAAATTGAGGATTGAAGTAACTGATATGGATAATAACTTTAGATACGCCGGGGACCCACCAAATTATGGTAAGCTTCGACAATTACGTATTTATACTTTTTAGATTGTGAGTAATTGTTTGGTAAGGGGTGTGGTGATTGATACGTTTGAGTTTGTAACGTTTTATGGTCAATAGTGGTTCTAAATTTATGTGTTTTTCTGAATTTCTTGATAGTTTTTGACTTTACTGTAACTTTAAAAAATTTATTGTTGTTTAATCTTGTAGTTTGCTTTGTCTATTATGATATTTTGCTTAACAATTAGATTGCATCGAGTGTTTGTGGGGCTATGTCGAATATGTCAAATTTTCACGTTTATATTTTATGCTGTGACTCTCACATCACATATATATGTACTTCAATAAAATAAAAAAACGTTGCCTTGTTAGTTCAACAAAAAGGAGCAGCTCCTAATATTTGTTATTTGGTTTATGAAGATGGTTCTGAAAAATTATATGTTTTGTTTGTTATTTGCATGTATAAAACTAAATTCACATGAGAATTACGATCATGTATAGTGTATTACTGTGGATATATATGTTAAATTTTTGAAATTTTAAAAATAGTGGTAACTTTTGTTTGTTCAATGTTCTATACACAGAGGGTTTAGATCCAGCATTGTGGACTGCTGAAATACACCATGGTGGTCAACTTCAAGACAAAGGTAATGGATACAACTTTTATTTTGGTGGTAGTGTGGTTTGGGTAAACAACTTAAATCGAGACTACATGTCACCTTTCGATTTTGATGATTTTGCAAAGAAATTGGGGTATCAAGAACGTGTTGGATACTACTATAGAGTGCCAGAGGGAGTAAATGGGGTGGAAAGTAAGTTGGTTTGTATTCCCGTCTCCAAAACAACTAAACAAGGAAATAAGGAACACAAAAAGAAATACAAATAAGGGAAACGTCTATTGCATTTCTGCATAGACTGGGAACACTACCACTTATCTCTTATTTTTCTGACATTTTCTCAGCAGCCAAAAACAAACAATAAGAAAACCACAAAAGATCATCAAACAGAAACATGTATGTGAACCATAATCTCTTTGCTACATTCTCCCTTTTCTTTCTTGCCTTCTCCTTTCTTGCACTTAGCTTTTCTTGTCTTGAACACTTCTCTTTTATTTCTTTGTCAAAGGGGGAACAAAAACCTTTTCTGTTGGCTGCCCACTTACAGAAGTAATCACAAGCTCAAATACCCCTTTCGAGAAAGTAGCAGCAAAACCCACTTCCAAGACAATTAATTTTTATTGCTTCCAAGAAAAATCACGACGGCTTATATAGAAAACCTTCGTCACATGAAAATTAAAATGAGATTCCAAGAGGTATGGAATCTTACCAGTGAGATCTTTAAATATAAATAACCACGTCATTTTCGTAAACTAAGGCCATTGACTTTTAAAACCGACAACGCCGGTTATGCATAAAATGAAGACGTGGTAACATGTAATACCCTATACCAGTAATCAATCCTACCTATGTGGCCCAAATAAATAGCCATGCAGTCTATTTCAGTTAAAGACATCTTGTCTTTATCCACATAATCAAAGTACGTAACATTTCCATCTAAATAGTACTTGTGTATTAGTCTTCCACCATGGTGCATTCGGATGCTAAATAAGCAATCATCGTCTGCATACATAGATGATCCAACATTAGGGTACTGTTAAACCTTGCATGGATTTATAGACATACACAGAAACCACCAACTACACAATAACCACTAACAAAAATCCAAGAAAACACTTTTACAATGCAGTTTACTATATCACCACGTTTTGAATTATTCAATACAGTAAAGTCACTTTCCAGACCAAAAGCCAAACACCCACATGGGCTACAGTCGGACCACAAACCAACTTTACTTACATAAAAGCCACTGACAACAACTAGAAAACCCCAAATATGCGAATTGGGAAACCCTTATCCCCAAAACTTTGAACTCAGAAGCCTAACCCAAAAAAAAACCCCATATTCAAACCCTGTTCCCCAAATATGCGACCTTTTAAACCATTTCCCCACAAAATCGAACTCAGAACCCTAACCCCCAAATAAATCAATATTAAAACCCTAATATCCAAATATGTCAACTTGGAAACCTTTATCTACACAAAAAAATTCAAATCAAACCTCAATCCCCACATACCATAAACTGGGTCGTCCTCTCCAGGTGGTCGTGGCTCCCAACTCATCGTAGCCTTCTCTCAATCGACTCTGTGTCGTCGTCCTCTCCAACGATTGAACGAAATCAAGTGGAAGATTTGCAAGTGTGGAAGATTTTTTTCGTTATCTGGTTCTGGTGCGTGATTTTGGTTTACGAGTTGGAGGGTGTTGGAGGGCGTGAGGGCGTGAGGGCAGGAGAGCCAAAAATGGAAGTACGAAAATGCCCTTGGAAGGACTTCGAAACTAGCAAAAAGTGGGCCTCACAAGTGCCAGATCAGCAGCTAACCGAACAAATGACGCAAATGCTAACGGTGGAATCGGATTGTAAAAAATTTACAAGCTCGGGGTATGCGATTGTAAAAATTAAAAATACGGGGACTAACATGCCTTAATGGTGTAAGTACAGGGTACTAAACTGTAATTTACCCTTGAATATAATAGTGTTTCATTGCTGGTCTTTTCACTTTATTATATATATGATTTTATAGTGTGTGAGATGGATAAGTCATGGATGCATGCGGATAGAAGATCGAAGGCATATGAGTTAGGGGGGGAAGGATTTTTGAATTTTGCTGTAGAAAATCTTGGAAATACAACTCATATTCATTGTCCATGCGTTAAATGTGGGAATATTCGATTGTTTGGGGTTGGAATTATAAGGGAACACTTATACTTTAATGGAATTGACCAAAGCAATAAGATTTGGACATGGCACGGAGAACCTTGGGAATGGACTACTAATGCTAGTAGAAATGTGGAAGAAGATAAGCAAAGTAGGTTCAGTTTTCTTTCTGAAGAAT